GCACTTACAGAAACGTTGGTCTGCATAAAATCAATGGGCTCATCCCAGAGTTATGTTAGCATTAAGAGGGACAAGACTGATGCCTTGGATAAGTCAGTGTATTCCGTCTGAGTAACAGCTTAGATGCACAGTGAAATTACAAATAAGAACAATTACAGATAAATAACTTGGAGAAAGGATATATATTTCAATACCCAAGGGGGATGACTACCTATTCCTCTTCTAATAGCTGAAATTATTTACGTATCAGACAACTTTAAAATAATTACTGCACTTTGCCTCGTCGCACCTGCCATTTGGAGCCTGCGTGTTGTAGGAGTCCTGCATACGAGACCAAATACAAGCCTCAGGGGCTCGTGGCAGGATTCTACTTAAGCTGCAGCATGAGTGCAATCCCTTAGGATTCTGCGAGACTGACCAACTCTTGCTTCTGTGCCATCACAGCAATTATTTAGCAACTGGCCAATTTTTAGCCAATTAAATATTTGCATTTGGGGGATGGATTGCTTGCTTGCTTGTTTTTCCTTCCTACCTTCTTTATAACACTTGGCCCTACTTTACATGCAAAGCATCAGAGACCACCCGCTTCATGATTGTGGGGCTACCTCCAGCTCCAGGGTTTGTTTTTCCCCAGTCTAGATAAACTTGCGTAGGCCTGAATATATGTTGGAATCCTTTTTTCTCTATATGCGTTGCTCCTGCTGAAGGTGTAAGGTGTTTTTCAAGCATTCTTTGGAAACCAGTCTATCCCAGTTCCCCTGCAAGCATGTTTCCTTCCACAGGAATTTCCCAGCAGGTGCATTTTGCCACGTGCTCTGCAGACACCAGTCAAGAGTTGCAGACTGCGAGCGTGAACAAGGTCCCCAAAACCCCATCGCCCAAAGCAGAAATAACATAGTAAAGTATCTAACACACACATCTTCAGATTACAATTCCAAACACTAGCTCTAACACTGGGAACTAAGGTTACTTTTTTTTTTTTTTTTTTTGAGATTAGGCATGTTCATAAATGAAACCTGGGACTTTTTTTGATGATGTTTTATCTTTTCAGCTGCCCTAATCAGAGACATGTGTCAACAAGCAAGAAAATCAGGTTGCCACTTAAAACAATAAAAGCTGCTTTACAGGTTTCTCTTCTTGCTTTTTTTGCTTGGAGGTGAAATTGCTGAAAATAATTTGAATATTGCTTAATGGCTTTAGAAGCTGAATTCTGTTCATTTTATTCATAGCTGGCTGTAACAGTCCCATGGCCTCTAAACAGGAAGGCATTTCCACAATGCAGCTGGATACTTAATTTCAAATTCGTAGACAAATGAGCACTAAGTTAAAATTGCGTAACAGCAAATTATCTCCTGTTCTGGAATATTGGGAACTGATGAGCTAATAACGCAGGACCTTTTCAACTCGGAGTGCCAGCTGATAGCAGCATTAATGTAATAAAACCCAATAATGCTTAAAAATGTAAGTGGAAGCCTCCCTAGGGCAAGTCCTGTTTAAAGCAGGGAGTTTTTAGCCTGGAGAGTTGCTGTCGGTCTGGTGATCTGATTCCCTTTGGTTATTGCTACGAGGTGACTGGCCTGGCTGGGAAGGCTGCCTGAGACCTCGGGAGGTGTGGAGCTTTGGGCTGTTGCTCACGCTTAAAACTGGCCTTGAAGTAACGCAAACGGGGTACCTTCAGAAAAGGTACCTGTGTCGCAGTAACATAGTGGCTTCTTGTTATCTCATTGACTGAGCAGCTGGTTTAAGATGGCTTTTTTTTCCTTCCCTCCGATGTTTTCCTTTTATAAATTATGCATCTAGAATTGCATTATCCCAAGATGCCCCTCGTGTTTGCTGCATTTCCAAGACAGTCCTGCTAACGGAGAAAGTCTCTGGGTAGATTAAATGCAGTCGAAGTGTGTTAGCGGTGAGGACAGAGATGGTAATTTAGACTGTCTTTTACTTATCTCAACATCTATCGTTCATCTGGAGACCTCACAGTCTCTGCGTTCTTGCTGGTAGTCCAGGGGGTCCCATTAGAGATGTGTTTGAGCGCCTGGGGATGGGGCTATCCCCCTGTGCCCTGAACGGGAAGAACTGAAGAAACGCAGGCTGGCTGCTAGGACTTGGTGACCGAGCTGAATGGAAACACAGTCCCCAGGCTGGAGAAAGTGTAACAAGGCCTTTGGTATAAATCAAGAGGTGTACTCCTTATTTTAATTACTTCATGCTTTATTCATGTATCCCTCCAAGACAGCAATGTCTAGTAAGCAATAGTGGTGAGTCTGCAGCCTGATCTAATATCAGTAAAATCAGCCTGGGGAATTTTTTCCTGCTTTTGGCTTTTCCTTACACCAGCTCGGTATTGAGATACACAAGTGTATGTGCCGCTGTGGGCAGAAAGCTCCGTTAGCCTGGGATCTCTCCCCTCAAAACCACTGCAGCACCCCTCTCATAACCTCGTAGCCGTGAACACCCACAGCAAGCGCTCCAGCCTTGCAGTTTCTCTGTGCAGAGGTCAGGCTTAACAGATATTTACCCAAGAAAGGTATGAGTTTAACTAGCACGGGTATAACCCCAGTGTAAATACCATAATCCTAGATAGTATGAGAGGGCCCTTATTGTTTGCCTTTCAATTGTATAGGAAAGGGCTTAACCTCTTCATTGAAAAATGCTGCTCTTTTTGCAGAAGGTATAAATAGAGACACTTTTGGCTCCCAAGTGAGTCACAGTTTGCCAGCTGTGCCATTTTTATTACAGGCTTTGCAATATTTACAAGGCTTTACGGCCTCTCTTGAGTTCTGCCTTAAAATAGTTTATCTGAAAGGAATCATCTTCCATTCATACCAGGACAGAAACCGGTGGTGGCCTTTCTCCCTAGCGTGTACCCTTGCAAATAAAGCTGTTCACAGCAAAGACAGTCACTGCTAGGCTTAAAATGGAAGTGATCTGCCCCCCAAAAGCATTGTAGTCAGCCTCTTGTTTCAGGATGTATTCTAGGAGATACGGGGAAGATGGAAGTGAAGGAAACAGACTGCTTTGGGAGAAGGAGGGGAAAAAAAGATATATTGGGGAAGGTACCGATGGTTGGAGGACACAGAAGAAGAGGGGCTGGTGGAAAGCAAAGGCTGAGTGGGTGATGGGGCAAGTACAGAAATTTTTCTGCATAAAAATCTGCTCACGCAAACAAGCCTCCCTCCCTTTTTTAATGCACGGTGTTTACAGCTTCACTGTGCTTGTTGCCAGCAAAGAGCGTGCGTTCATGGGGGTGTTGAGAGTTGAGGAGCAACTGGGGAACAGATGCGAGGAGGTCTGGACAGGAAGCTGAGGGATGGGAGGAGAAACACCGGGAGAGGAGCCAGCACATGGATGAAGGAGGGGGAGCAAAGACAGCTCCCATATCAACAGCGCTGGACAGGCAATTGGAGCGCCAATTGAGTCTGCCACGCTTAGGGTGAGCCTACAGTTGTTGTCTTCCCAAAGAGGAAGGGGGAAAAATCTACCTTACAGCATCTCCAGATGGCAAGGTGTAAGCTAGTCCGGCAGGATGCTCCGTTTGCAACTTAATAAAGGAATGTTGAAACTTAACAGCTGGCAGTACCAGTGACCTAAAGGAAGAGAGATGGAGAAATACGATCCGTCGAGGTGTGTGCACTTAACAGTGCATCCGCCGGACAAAGATTTTACACATCAGTAACCAAAGTAAAGCTGTTACAAAACAAACCAGGGATCCTTTCCATTGGTAATTTGTCTTCCCTTCAGTAAATACCCACATACCACCAGAATATACTGCACAGCCTCCACAGGCAGCAAACCTATTGTAATATATGTGGCCTCTACCGGTGTCCCGTCATTATTTTAATCACAGGCTGCAAATTTTCCAGTTCTACCTTAGTATTTGTTGCATTGAGGGACAGAAAATTTCTGTTGCCCCAAACTCACTACGAACGCAAGACTGGAGGGAGGTGACATGTCCAAGCATCTCTCTTCCTGGCGTTTGTGTAGTATGCAACAGAAGCGTAGAACAAAATGATCCACTGGAAGGTTTTCCAGCAGGACTAAAATCTGCTGTACTCCCTTTTACTGTGAGCTGACCTGGTCAGCATGTGTGTCCTTAAACTCAACCCCCAAAATAAAGGGGTCCCTCTGTGAAGCCTCATACAGTTGCTTATCATTCTGTCTCTGTATTTTCTCTAAGTAGATGTTTTTAGCCTGAATTTAAAGATTATTTAAAATACTGAAAAGCAATTTTAACAAAAAACAGTGGAAGGCAAAACCCATTTCCTAGTTAATACTTGCTCAGCCATTCTCCTTTCTGTGTGGAGATGGGAACAATGAATGCATAAAGGTATTACCTGAGAGGAAAATCTTTTCTAGACTTGTAACTTCCATTAAATACTCTTTTAATCTGTAATGTATCTTATTTCTTTGGAATGAGCTGAAACAACTTCTTATGCTATTTGAGATTACTTTTTTCCCTCCCTTTCATAGCTTGTCTTTTCTTTATTCCCAACAATTGCAGAATAATAAAAATTATTATCAGAAGTAAGCAGAGGAGTTTTTACAGAGCAGTTCTTTTAATCTCATCTTTATTCCAGAGCATCCGAGTCTGCCATCCACACTTATGGAAGCTGGCCCAAAGCCTTCCCTTTTAAATGGATATCTCCCTGACTTCCACGTGACCCCTGTGCTTTTGTAAGCTAATATGGTTTTAATTCCTACTGCAGAACAAATAGCAAAATACACTCGTAATCAGAACGTAGGAATTGGGAGTACCCAACTGATACGGCTTCAGTAACTGCAAGCAGCAGCTGCTAGAGCTAAAGATTGCTTTCCTCTGCCCCAGGGCAGCAGAGGCTGGTGATGGGACCGATGCATTATTTCTGTCTGAACTTCACTTTATGTAACAATTACATGTGGTATCAAACTTGAAATGATGGTCACCGCATCATTTTTTAGTTCCAGGTCTTTTCTTTCCACTGGAGCTGTAATCCAAGCTTCTCTATCGTTACAGGTCATCTTCTCAAAAGCGCTGAAAGCTGAAGATGGATATTAAGCGTGTGAAGGACTATATCTACTGGCTGTACTACCAGTACCTCCTGATCACCTGCAGCTATGTGCTGGAGCCCTGGGAGCGGTCCATGTTCCACACCATCACCGTGACTGTTTTCGCTATGGTGGTGTACACGGCTTACGTCTTCGTCCCCATCCACGTCCGCCTGGCTTTTGAGTTCTTCTCCCAGATATTTGGAGGCCAGCCCGAAAGCACGGTTTCCATCATGAACTGAGCCTGCCTGAGTAGTGATTAGCAGCTCTTGCAACTTGTGAAATGCAATGTCTTCTTCAATTCTGTGTATTTATTCTGAAGCAGTTTTGCAGTTACAAAAATACCATTTTCTCTTACAAACCACGGCTTGCTTAATTACCACAGCTGAAAACCAGAATAACGCACCGACTACTGGCTGCACAGTCCCTGTTAAATGAAACACAGGCCAGCTTTTGCTGTGTGATAATGACACACATCACCTGGAATGCCGCATTTACCTAATATTCAACTGGCTCCCACTTTCAGCACCCTAATTTAATCACACTGGCATGTATGAAACGGCAAAGACTGGTTATGATGGCTGTGAGGAGGGGTACTACGCTCATTATACACGAAGAAGGTCTGCCAAGAGTGCAGTGGCAAAACGTACCATGCCTTCTTTGACCCAGGTTAGAGAATATAAGGAGAGGAGCATAATACAGCATATTGAGTACTAATATCTGGCTGGTTATTGACTTCTGGTTTTTAATGGATGGGGGAGGAAATTAGAAGAGAATGTAACAGGAGTATGAACTTGAATCCAACTTTTTGCACCTAAGTTGCTGCATCTGAGTTTAGATGGTCGAAGATAGTAAAAAAACCATACTATAGGTAATCTTGCGGTTTACTGAAAATGACAGACAGAAAGAGAACTGGCTCTGTTTCAGTGCTCTCCTGCTGCCTTTGATAAAAACCGAGACGTCTTTTCTTTCTGCTCCCATTCACCAAGGCAAGGAAAGTGCATGTCTGCACCAGAGGAAGACGATCCAGAAAATAGAGTGGAAGTAATATTTTAATAACTGCAGGGAAGTCAGAGTGCTTAAAGACATCTCCTTTATAAAGAAGAAATGAGATTTATTATAATTGCCTGTGGGGAGTTTCTTGAACAATGGAAGGTTTGTTTCGCTTTCACTCTACACCTAAATCAAATGTCAAGGCCAAATCATAAGTTATAGTGCATGTATCTAACAGCTGATGCTACTGTTATTAGAAGCGAGAGGTGCAAAATGTAAATAGCTTTCAAATTACATTTGCACAGTTATAGGATTAAAAAAACCCTCTTAACCTCTTTATCAAGCTGCAGTGGGGTCCTGCATGCTTAAAAGAACATAATTTGTTTGGAAACTAAGACATGCTTTAAAGGTTGAACAGATCTGAACACGTGTATGCAGTTTTTTCAGAAAAAAAATAAAATTTTATTCTTCAGAAACAACATTTCAGTGCATGACTCCGCTCTTCCTCTATTTTCTGTTTGTTCATAAATACCCTGGATGTGTGTGCGCCAGGCTGACACCATGGCAAACAGACTATTTTGTTGCAAATGTTTTGGGGCAAGGTTTCAGAGCCCCTTAAATGTGTGGACTGCCACGTTCATCCTCATTAGTGCTGCAGCCTGAGACCTCTCTTCTCTCTGGTGGTAGGGGAGGGGGAAAAAACCAAAACAAAACAAAACCCCAGAAACTTCCTTAAAGAACCTGCTCCACAGACCTGTTCACAAGGTCCTGAAGGCAACTCCTGGAGATGCGCAGGTCTCCTGCTTGTAGGGAGCCACGTTCTTCATATCACAGTTGCTAGCTGCGTTCAGGTTCTGGCTCACGCTGGAGCCACTTGTTCGTATTGCCAATACAAGCAGATCATGGATGTGCCTGAATTCTCTTGCAGACAGCCACTGATGTGCTTCAAATTAAGGCAACAAATACCTGGGTGTGCTGGTGGCACAACAATTGAGTGGTTTAGGCTCAAATGGGAGCCAAAGGCTTAGCTGTCCTATCAGTTTAATCACAGTTGTTACCCTGCAAATATGAGGTACCAAGCTGTAAACACACTTACAGTAATAAACACAGCATTGGAGGACACAAAAAATGTCAGGTACCTGTGAAAATCTCTATGAAAGCAGTTCTTAAAATAGAATAAAAGTAACAACCCAAATGTTGGAGGTGAAAAAATGAAAACATTTACCTAGCAAGTTGGTGCTTGAGCCAAAAATACTTCTCAATATCCTATCCTCAAAAGATTCTACTTTTTAGCTAGATAATGATGTAAACGCCATGGCATCTCCTCATCAATCCTGTTTCCAATAACTTATTTTTTATTCCAATCTTATTTTTAATTCCTCAAAAAGGTTATTTGTTCCCAGTGCAATCAAACGCAACTGACCTGCTTGTAGGAGCATGCGGAAAAACACTTTCTTATAGGTATGCAAAGGCTGGGTCTCCTATCTCAAAGAGCACACACCCCAATGTAATGTTGCTATTTAAACATTTAACTTAAAGCAAACAGAACAAGCAAACGGCGTTGCTCAGGAAGAGGGAATTTCCACTGACCTCTCATGGTGGGATGCCTGTAAAGCACTTCTCTTCTTTATTATTCCTGTTATCTGTGTTTAGCTTTGCAGGAGGTGCTCAGAAGATCGAGGAGAAAAGCAGCAGTTTCTCTTTGGGAGGGTCCCTGCAGCCTTACTTAAGTGAAAACATTTTTTTTTGTGTACATTCTTCAGCTTCTTTACTAAATTCTAAAGTTTCGGGGCAAGAGGTATTCACCAGGAAGGAAAGAGACAGCTGAAAATAACCTCTCTGCTAAAAAGCCTCTCTCTGCTAAAAAGCGTTTTGAGATTTTTCCAACCCTTTTCACTTCTCCTTTCTATTAGAAAAGCTGAAATAACTCTAGCTACTTAATATTCAAAATTAGTGGGTTCCAGCAGGAGATTTCAAAGCATTTTTGGCACACAGCAGTGAACAGAAACATTTTTTTCCCCGGGCTGAAAGAGAGAGGAGGTGGGACACCACTTTTGACAGCTTGAGACCACACCACAGTTTAGGAAACTGCTCCAGTTTTGAAATCCTTTTCCCCATAGATGAAGCCATCCATACACGATGGAAAGAGGTTTTAATCACATTATATCTGCAGACGAACGTGGAAGCACCATTTGCTGTAATAGCAACACGCCGCAGGAGGAGGGTCGCATTTCGGAGAGCTGCCAGTAACACCAGCAGACGGTTCGGTACGTACAGCATATGGGCAACAACTCCGTTGTGAAGAGTATAGTGTCGGGCTCTTTATAAAACACTGTGGCAGGGCACTCTTTTCTCCTGCTTCATTATTACTCCATGTTAATTGTAGTTAATTGCTCCATTATTACCCTATGCTAATTGTAGTTCAGGCTGAGCACAGCAGCTGGAAGTTTTTACACCAAAAAAAGCCAATGAAAGGACTATGTTAAGAGTGAACAGAACCAATAATCCAACAGTGATAAACGAAACAAAAGCAGAAAGGGAGGTGAACCCGTTCCAGTTGCATTCACCCTGAAAGTACAAATGCATCATTAAATTAAGTGCTGAGAAATTTTTGGGCTCAGCTGGCCAGCACCATACCTCCCTTGTTTAAAATTCATTTTCTTAATTTCATTTAATCAAAGCTAGCATTTAGCCTGCCGTAAAGGTTTCCCGGCCAATTTCACGGATCGCCTCCCAAATCCATTACCGAGGGTAACTACACGTGCACACGTCCAGACCATGAACCTCCAGAAACTTCTTCCTGAAGCCCCTCCAGGCAGCTTTTACCCGAGACTATTAAAAAAAGCTTCCCAGGGACCTTTTTCCTTAGCGACAGTCTTGCACAGGAAACGTAGGGATCAGCACCACCACCAGCGACTCTGCCCACCTAGCAGGCTTATTTCTAAGTTATTTTGGTGCACTCCTTTTATCACATGAATTAAAATGCAGAGCTTGAAATAGGGCAGCAGCAGTTTATAGCTTGGAGGGTCGTCAGTGGGTACAGATGTCTCTGATGATCGGCTGCCAGCTAAACTCAGCTTACACGAACAGTGACTAAATGTAGCGCTAACTTATTCGACGTGTGATATTTTCAGCCCTTTTCGTACCCCCGGAGAGCCTTACAGTGGCGCCTGCCTGACTGCTTACTCAACAGAAGAAAGAGAAAGCTGTATTTCCAGCCTTTCTCTTGATCTTTCTAGAAAAGACCAGCAAAACAGTCCGAGGTGGTTGGTGGGGAAGCACTGCCATTGCCTACCCTACACATCTTCAGGGTATCTGGGTCCAAACCAGACACGTGTAGAGATGGGCCATCATCTGGGCGTCCAACTTCATCTACATGGAACTCCCTGAAAAATGAGGCCCCATGTTTATGAAGTTTTGAAATCTTAAGGATGTTCAAGTACAAACTTTTTTCTGAAGTTTTATTATTGCTGTTATTTGACCATAATTTAAGATTCTTGCTTCGCATACAAATTCAGTGCAAAAAGTTATTTTTCTCACTTACAATGATTCATAGTTATGCTTAAAGATAACAAGGCCTTAAAGTTTTTATCAAGTGAAAGATGTCACAAACGTATTTTAAATAATCATTTTTATAAAGGCCCTGTTTTAGATAAACCTTCCAAAACAGCAAACTGATACCATCAATCAATAGCATGCAAAAAAACTGTAACGCGTGAGAAATGTGCCTCCACAGAGATACCTCTTGGAAACTTGCCTACAAATAAAAATGGCATGTAAAGGGAAATCACTCCAGTCTCCGTGGTAGGAAGTTTCTGCTGCACTACTGCAAAGGACAGATGTTGTCCCGGTCTTCTTGTACACGCAGAATTAGCCCTGCCCAGCATGCAGACAGCGCATACGAAGGAGGCCTGTGAATATAATACGCTGTGTCTTTCTCCCTTCACCTCTTACCAAGACAATGCTCTGTTTCTAGAGTTTAATTTCCCTAATTACTTGGAAGCTAGGAGGAAAAGAAAACCAAACCACAACTATTTAAGCCCTCGTAAAAGAAGTACAGCAGGGTGTAGCAACGGTCAGCAGAACCATACGAACCGCAAATCACACTTGCACACCACCAGAACGCGTTTGCCGAAATTGGGCCGATTCTCGCAGATGGATTACTGCACCCTGGGGCGCAGATGTGGACAAGTGGCAGCGTGCAAAGCTGAGCATTTGAAAATCAAAGCAGAAAAGGCTAATTTTTCAAATTACATATTACTAACTTTTAATAACTTTCTCATAATCACACAAAATGATCAACATCCAACGTAGCATCAAAAGCAGTGCTGCCCTCTCTCAGTGCACTAGTTGGCCCCTACCCAAATCATTTTAATTATTTACTCCTAAAATAGCAACCATATTGGCAAGTTACTGATATCCCACCACAAACTGCCTTTTGCTCGGAGCCTGTTTCGCTCTGTTTGGTAAGTCCAGATATCCTCCTAGCCAAGATAAGATAACAATTCATTTATCTGGACTC